CGCGAAGCGCCCTGCCGCCCCCCGCGCGTGCCGGGACCCCGCGCGAGGTGGGCCGGCTCGCTTTCCTTCCTGCCCGCGTCCCCTCTGCCGGCGAGATCAGGGCCCCCTCTCTGAAGCCGGACGCTGCGGCAGCCTGTGTCTGCACGCCTTGGAGAGACGGGCTAGAAGTGTGTGATAAACTGGAGCCGGGGCCTTTCCCGAGGGGACAGCAGAAGGGTTTGTGAGCCTTTCTGCGGACGGAGAGCTGGAAGGCTGTGTCCACTGGTCCCCCCCCGCCCCCCACCCCAGTGTCGTTGTCAGGTTCTTGGAAGCAAGTGTGACAGAAGAGTAAGTCTTCCAGGGCTGGGAGAAAAGCACAGGCCCTTCCGGGGCTGCCTCAGTGGGCTGGGCGATCTGCTGCCTCGTTTGTGGCCCTGGAGTGAATTGCCAGCCCCGAGGGGGGCTTTAAATACAAACCTGCCTCGGCCTTCCTTGTTTCAGGCAGGCCGTTGAGGCATCAGCGGATCCAGAGGAGGAGCAGAAAGGTTGAGGGCAAGAATGGGTGCGAGCCACACGATCGGTCTTCTGGAAGGGGCTGAAAGACACCTCCTGATTGTCATTTGGTTTTGTTTTTAAGCCGTGGTGTCTGTGGATGGGCGGCCGGTGAGACTCCAGCTCTGTGACACTGCAGGACAGGTCAGTATCATGTTACAGCTCTGTGCTGGGAAAGGAAACAGCCGCTTAAAGGTTTCCAAATAACCTTTGATGAGTTTCCAAGTGATTCCCTCCGTCAGCAACTGGGTCCTTCTGAAGCCTCTGAAATAGGCCCCACCCCCACTGCTGGCCCCTCTGGGAGGGAAGACAGGCGGGCTTGGGGAGGAAGCGACCTCCTGACTGATAAAGCAGGGTTGGCCCAGCTCTGCGCGGCCCAGAAAGGGAGAAGCAGGCCCAAGAACACTGCTGACCTTACCGGGGCTTTCTGATACTGCTTACTCCCTGGTTTTTATGAAGAATGTTCAGTGATGCTTTGAAATCGTTTTTCAGAGTGAGTTAGTGATGCCATCATTTGATTAAAGGTCAACGAGCCAGATAGTAAAGAAATTTGCTCAAGAAAAAGATAGAGCCAGGCATGATGACTCACACCTTGTAATCCCAGAACGTTGGGAGGCCAAGGTGGGAGACTTACTTGAGACCCACTGGGACAACACAGTGAGACCCTGTTTCCACAAAATGTTAAAAAGTTAACCAGGCATGGTGGTGCACACCTGTAGGCCTCACTACTTGTGGGTGACAGAGCAAGACCCTGACTCTAAAATTACCAAAAAAAAAAAAAATGGAGCTTATGTCAGTAAGTGTTAACCCTTTTCTTCCTGAGCTGTAGTTTGACTTGCTGGGATCAGCCCCACCCCTTGTAGCAGCCAGACAGTTGTCAGAGCATTTCTGAGCTGAGGGAACAAATGACCTGGACTGCTGCTTTCCAAAAGGTGGACATGTATTCTTGTCTCAAGGGCCAGGCATTGGGAGGAAACAGCTGGGGAGGGATGAAGAGGGTACAGGTGTGGGGTTCCCCAGACAAACCTGGCCTGTTTCTGCCGAAGCCCCCTTGGGGGGTGTGCGAGTCCCCGAAGTCACACTGTGCCTGGTGAGTACCCAGGGGTGCTTGAGTTTGCCCAAGTGACAGTTGATGAACACGTTGTCTCTCCAGTACTTTCTGGAGTCTAGCAAGGTGCTGGGGGCGGGCCTCTGCAGGCAGGTAGAAGTGTCTGCTTCACTTTCCGAGGTGAGTACATGACCATCTGCGTTATCAAGTGGGCTTTCAGTGTCCCCCAGAGCCTCATCTAAGCCAGAGCTTCCAAGCAGCTCGCTTACTCTGGGACAGCAAATTCAGAACTGAGGACATTTTATGTTTTAAAACTCAAGGCGACACACATCTGGGCAGCCCTGATCCCCGGGGAACGCTGGTCTGGCCTGGGTCGTTGCAGCCCCGCCCGTGGGTCTTCAGCCCCCCCTCCATCCTGAGCAGGAAGAGCCCAGCACAATTTGTATTTTATTGCCCGTGGAAAAGAGAAATTCAGGAGCACGGTCTCTTCTAGCACGTCATCTTTCGGAATGCCATGCTAGTATTTATAATTCCCGCTTCACTGCTTTGTCTAAAGTGAGAATGTTTTGCCTACAGGGGTCAGGCTTTCTGATCTTTAAAACGGGTCAGAGGAGTGTCCAAGTAAATGTAAGCTTCCCCACTGACGTGAAAGCCCGCGGTTAAGGCAGAAAACAGGAGAGCGCGCTGAGTCCGTGGCGCCAGCGAGCCTCGCAGAGCTGCAGAAACTGAGTGCCCGACCACTCAGGGCCGCACTCAGGCGTCACGGTTCACCCCCGGGCTCCCTGGGAGGGGCTGGCTGTCTCTGCAGGAGGTGCAGTATGTGGCACGTGGCAAGGCTCAGCCTCATGGCTTTAGAATGGGTGAGCACTTGGCTCGCTCGGTTCTGGGGGTGCTCTGGTGAGTTGTGGGATTGCCCCGAAACAGACTTATGGTCTGTCAGGAAGACACCGGTTTACGGAACTTGTGAAGGACAGCGCTGGTGGAAAGCTAGGGGGTCCAACAGCCGGCAGGAGCCCCTCCCTGCAGAATTCTGAGAGAGGATGGATTTTTTACCAGAAAAAACTTTGTAAAAACGGCGCTGGATTATTAAAAAGGGCTTGACTTTTCCTTAATAGGATTTTTTTAAAAGTCAGGGAAGTACAAGACGCATTTAAGAAATATTTTCACAAAAAGTTTATTATTAGAGAAAAACGGGTGTTGGTGCTGAGTTGGTAAGCTTTAGTTTATTGCGATATTTTCAACAAGATTAATAGAATTTCTTAGCTCTGTGTACTGGTTAGCAGAGAATGTCCTACTAAATTATAAGTCAGGCCCAACCTAAAAATGTGCAGGAGACCATCATCCAAAGCAACTTATGACAGATAAACTGCTAGAAGGATAGTCGGGCTTTTTTTTCCTGCTCTCCCCGTATAAATTAGCATTTGTTGCAACTCCTGGCGAAGCTGGCCAGGACAGCAGCCCTCTTGCTTGAAGGGACTTGCTGTGACACCTGCCTGCCATGTCTCCTCGTGGAGGAAGGTGCATATCCCTTCTCCAGGCCGTTGTCACGATAGCCTTGAGGGTGTCGTGACTCTCCTGACCTTCACTTCAAGCACCCGGAGAGTAACTGTGCACACAGGTGGGCCAGGCTGTGGGCCATGGGGGAGAGTGTGGGCTTCCCGTGGAAGTCAGTGACCTGGCTGCATGAACAGCTAGAAATTGCTTACTGTGCCTTTGGCTTCTCTTGCTGGGAGTGGGGAGTCTGTCTGTAAGATGTTAGAAAGGGTTTTGGACACTGGACTCCTAGTGCCCCTCAAGGGCAAATAGATCAGAGACAGACGGTGGACTTGAGAAAACTCACCTTTGGCATAAGGGAGAGGTGTATGGTGGGAACAGGAACAGCATGCCCGGGGTTGCCAACAGAAGCTGAAGACCTTCCAGCCTTCCGATCCCTTGTGGACCTGGAAAATTCTCCGTACTAGTCCAGAGGGATGCTGGAACTCAGTCTCTTTTCTCTCCCCCCCCACCCTAGACAGAATCCCGTACCTCATCTCCACCGCAGACCCCAGAAAGTGCCTCCACATTGCTGGGCCCCAGGACGCCCTTCCTTGAGGCTGCATTCTGGTTGGCTTCACTGCATGTGTGCGTTGCATTATTTCAGCAAAGAGCTAAGGCTTCTGGGCAGGCACTGAGCGGGAGGGCTTAATTTCTGTTTCACTTCCCAAGCCCCTTAGCCAAGATCTCAAGAGGCCAGGAGCCCACTTTCCCGTGCCTAGTCCGAAGGACTGGCTCTTGTGCCTGCCCTTCTCTTTGCTGGTAATGCAACTCCAGATTCCAGGGCACGGCCAGGGTGACTGCCTTCCAACAGGAGGTGCAGCTGCTCCAGGAGGCGGCCCGAATGCCGGTCTCCTCTGAGGCCTCTCAGAACAGAGGGAGCGTTTCATGAAAGGATCTTTAGAGCCAAGCTGTCGTCTACCTGCTTGAGTTTCTGTGTTTATTCACTCAGCATAACACTGGCATTAAGAAACTTAAGTTGTTCTTTCTTAGCTTTCACTTATAGCAGCCTCACAGGTGGCAGTGACATTCCGAAATGCTACGCTCAAATTCCGGAGCGTTTGAGCTGATAAGCTTCGATTTGATTAGTTGGTTGTTACCCCACAGTTGAAACACGGAGCCTTGAATGAAGAAAGTACGTTAAAATATTAAGTACATAAAATATTAAGACCCAGCTTTCCTTTATGCCTAGAGAAAAAAGCCATGGGTTGAGAATCACGTGCGTGTACACAGCACCTAGTAAGTAATCAGAGCGTGCCGACCGAGTTGCAGAAGACACGACAGCATGGGACTCTTTCTTGCTGTTTGTTGGGAGACTGTCAGTGACGTTACACCTGAGGGTGACTGGCACTCACAGGTAGAAACTGCAAGTAGGAATGAGATGAGCTACCTATTTTCTAGGAAAGAGCTGAGTGAATGTTTTCTGTGGAGCGTTTCCTGTAAAGAGATGCTGGTTTTGCCAGGCTCGGTGGCTCAGCCTGTCATCCCGCGCCTTTGGGAGGCTGGGGTGAGTGGATTGCCTGAGCCCGCGGGTTCGAGACCTGCCTGGGCAGACCTCGTCTCTACAATAAATCAAAATGTAGAGACCTCATCTCTACAATAAGTCAAAAAGTCAGCTGGGCGTGGTAGCGCACGCCTGTAATTCCGGCTACCTGGAAGGCTGAGGCGGAAGGATCGCCAGAGCCCAGCAGGTCGAGGCTGCGGTGGCCGGGAGCGGCCACTGCACTCCAGTCTGGGCGACAGTGAGACTCCAACTCAAAAAAGCAAAACAAAGCAAAAAAAGAGAGATGCTGATTTGGAGACCAAAATCTGCCTGTTCATAACCACACGCCCTCACTGGACTCTGCTGGTGTGTAGATGTATTCAGTGTGTGTGTCTTAGACGGATGACTGCAGGAGAGCATTCAGCAGCCTGATGCTGGTTTGTCTGTTCTAACTTGCTTGTTCTGTTTCTCTGTCCCTTAAGGGTAGAGTGGGTGTGCCCATTCTCTGGTGCTGCATCTGTCTAGTGCACCGTTCATGGAGGCTTCTGGTATTGGCAGTGATAAAGGAAGTAAGAGAAAATGAGAGACGGAGGGAGAAAGATGAGACAGCTAGGCTGAGGTTGCATTAACCAGTGTCTGTTGGGGACCTTGGAAAGCACACGTTTTCTGAGTTGCTGATGACAGTGGCCTAACATAGGCCCTCCATCCCATTTCTGGGTCTGTCCTTGTGTCTGGCAAGCACTGCTCTGCGCTGCTGTGTGCGGGGCGGGCAGAGTGTGTGCCCGGTGTGGGTGGGATGGGGAGCGGAGGCTGGATCCTTCAAGAGAGTTGAGGGTAAGTGTGGGTGTGGTCTGAACTTTTGAAGAGTAGCGAGGAATCAAGAGTTGAGAGTGAGTCTGGACTACTCTGGACTGAAGGCTGAATACAGTTGATTTTTTATCTCTAGAACCCACCTACTTCAAGTGCTTTTTCTATGGTAGATTGCAAGTAGGTCACGAGCATTGATGAAGTCACCCTGGTAGAGTTGGGGATGGAGCTGACTCTGGATGCAGATGTGTCTGCCCCCTACCTGGCGCCCTGGCCCCCCTGGGCCAACCGCAGGATTGTTTCCCAGATGCCAGCTCTTCCTCCTGGGACTAGCGGGCCTTCTGCTCCCTGCCAGACCCTGTCATGGAAATGCTTAGATGATCTTTTTACTGACGCGGATGGATTTAAAACGTAATTTTTGGTGCTTTGCTTGGTCGCAGGACGAGTTTGACAAGCTGAGGCCACTCTGCTACACCCACACGGACATCTTCCTGCTGTGCTTTAGTGTGGTGAGCCCCTCCTCCTTCCAGAACATCAGCGAGAAGTGGGTGCCGGAGATTCAGCGCCACTGCCCCAAAGCCCCCATCATCCTGGTGGGAACGCAGTCGGATCTCAGAGAAGATGTGAAAGTCCTCATCGAGTTGGACAAGTGCAAGGAGAAGCCCGTGCCCGAAGAGGCGGCTAAGCTGTGCGCCGAGGAAATCAAAGCTGCCTCCTACATCGAGTGTTCAGCCTTGACTCAAAAGAACCTCAAAGAGGTCTTTGACGCAGCCATTGTTGCTGGCATTCAGTACTCGGACGCTCAGCAGCAGCCAAAGAAGTCTAAAAGCAGGACTCCAGACAAAATGAAAAACCTCTCCAAGTCCTGGTGGAAGAAATACTGCTGTTTTGTATGATGCTGGCAGGAAACCCAGAAAGGCTATTTTCAGATGAAATCAACATTAGAAGCTATATTAGCTGAAATGACTCCTTTTACCGTGTAGAACCTGTATAGCGAGTGTGTGTGTGTGTGTCTCATAGGACGAGCTCCCCGTTTCTGTCTTCTCTCTTGCCTTTACATTTCTGGTTTGTTTGAGCTTAGGGATGAGATATTTAGCAAGATTTTTTGAAGTAAGCTAATCGTTTTTCATAACTCTGGACATTTAGAGCTGCAGACTTCTGGATTAATTTATGTCTTATACGAAGGGGTCACCACAAACCTGGATGTCAGAAATGACGTTTTGCTGCATGGTAGTGCACAGAAGAACAAAGGGGGGATGTTGGGCTGACCCCCTCTTGATCAAGGGCTACTTACTGCACCGTGGCGTTGTCACACGGGTCAGCCGTGGTAAGAACAGTTCTTAGCTTTGAAACTCCATGCAACCCATCCCCTGTCTTTTAAGAGCAAAAATCCGAGGAATTAAAAATGAGAGACCTCTGCCTGCAGAACCTCACACCAGTCACTTTTGTCATTTACTAATACCCACTGCTTGAGATTTAAAAACAACAAACATCTCACTGACTGTATGGCGCTGTGTAGATGGAAGAGAAGGCTACTTATGCCGACACTGTATGAACAAAGCCAAAGTGCCATGATGTAGTTCTCGCGCTTTCTTTAGGGAATGATGATGCGGAGGTCAGAACACAGTGTTTGCTCTCTGGGCTGTGGCACGTGCGTGGCGCTGCGGTGGTCCTGGGCGCTAACAGCACGAGGGAGTACCCACCCGGGTGTTCTCAAACTTCCATATTCGAGTTGTCCCATCTCCAGGGAAGTGAGCACCCCTGAAAGGCCAATAGCAAGTGTTTATGGGATGCAAAATGTACCTTTTTCCTTAAGTCAGCCATAATGTGCTGTGTTTACACACCCGCACCCATGCACACACGTGTGCACGCATACATACAGCTATATGACTGTATTTGCTGCTGATTCAGACGTTTACACAGTTAGTGGGGAAAAGCGTGGCCATAAAAACAAATGTTGGGGAAGTTTGGCTTCCTTCTCCTGTGGGCACTTTTTTGAAATGACATCTTTTTTTATTATACCCTGGATAGGATTTTAAGTGTGTCTTAATTTACACATTTTTTGAGACCATCTGACAACACAAGATGCACATCTCTTTGACACTTGTTACAACCCCCAGTTAAATCCACAGATGACTTTCTGAGCACTGGCAGGAGAGAGCAGTGTGGTGTGTGTGGAGCCATGAGGGAGGCTGGTGGGCTTGTGGCCGGCAAGGGACATACCTGGACCACGGTCCCCACGCTTGGCGGCTTCTTCACGGTGGGATGGTCAGAAAACCATGATTGTGAAATAGGTTCTCCGAGGTGGCAGTTTTGAGGGCTGAACCTGCCGGAGATAAAAGTGTCCTATCAGGAAAGTAGCCTTTGTTCTGGGAAGGTGTGTTTCTGCTACCCACGAGGCAGCCCAGATGCTCTGAATTGTAATGTCAGGCCTGCAGGGGGTGAAGCAGGGTCACCAAAATCACTACGATAACTAACTAGGGAAGTCTCTAGAAAGCCAGTGGGTAGATGAGTTTTAACTTTCTGTGGGTTTTATGCTGTCATTTTTATATTTAAGAAAAATCCAATTTGTGGTTTTTTTAATAGATAAAGTAAAAGATCAGGTTATAGTTTAGGTTGGGGGCTTCTTTTATTCCTGCTAGTAGCTAAAATTACCAAATTTCTTTGTTTAACAAAGGTTAATCTTTAAACCGTGAAAACGCATAGACGTTAACTGTTATTTTTCAGCACATTGAAATTGATATCACTCACAGTTTCCTGAAACACTTGGTTACAACCTGACGGAATAAACTTATTTGTGGAAATGCTTAAGACAGACCTCATTAAATACATCTCACGTTTCTACACCTAGCTCACTAATCTGTGGAAAGCCGGTCTTCCCAGACTGGGCTCTGCCTTCCTGGTGTGTCAGGTGGAAGAAGGGAAGAAGAGTTATTTAACTGACTAGTAATTTTGAATATTGTTTTTATTTTTAAGCAAATGTCATGGAGTGCAATGCAAATTCATGTTTAAGATAAAACTTGAAACATTTTATGCGTCAGCAGTAGATGGGGCTGCGCTCAGTCTCCCTGGAGGGGCCTTCGGCCCTCCTACCTTTAGGCCACTGATAGAAAGTGGTGGGAAAGCTTTACGCAAGCGGTTTAATTTTAACTGGGCTTAAGACTGCTTGGACCATTAGTGCTAAAAGTCTAGTGGGTTGACATTTAAATGCAACAGTTTTTTAATGTGTTGCTGCATTTTATAAAACAATAAAGGTACGATTATACGCAAGATTTTCCTCCATTTTTATTTCTTTGTGAAAATAGAGTTAGGGACCGAACATTTTTTTTTAAGTGTATTTGAATTGAGTATGAAGTTGGTTCACTTCAAAGTTCAAAAACAGTTAGACTTGCAGCCTGATGTTGCAGAGAAGATTTTTTAAGAATTTTGCTTTAGAAAATGATACTTTGGTTGAACTCCTACAGTCTAGGGCCAATGTCATAATTAAAAAATAACAATATACTGCAAAACTGTTATCTCTTGTTACCATGTCTGTATAAATGGACCTTTTATAACCTCATTCTTTGCCTGACAGGCTTAAGAGAAACTACCCAGGTCTTGCACAAGCCGAACGCGAGCAAGGTCTTCTCTCCAGATTGTCGGAGCCCGGTGCCTTCCCAAGTTGTGCTTTCTGTTTTCAAGTGCAAATGGTGTTGAGCTGAGTGCTGTGCTTGAAGAAGCTGTACATGAGATGATACGAAATAAATTCTGACCTGTGGCTGTCACTGCCCTTGCCTGTTGTGTCAGAGAACTCTGCTGGGAGCGTTTTGCTGCATCTCGAAGTGGCACTGGTTGGGAAATGTGGGTTGCCCGCTCAGGAGTTTGGGAATGCATGTGCAACTCATATCAAATGCTTATTCGGTATGGGGTTTTGTGAGTTCTGGGATTGCTGTCTGATCAAAAGCATTCTCTGAGCTTGCGTTGCTAACAGATCTCAGGCCGGTGTCCCAGTAGGTTGGAAGAAGCACTGTGTTGGAGCTGGAAGTCCAGGCTCACGGGGTGCTGCTGTGGTGTGAAACTGCGAGGGCCAGAGATGTGAGCCTCGGTGTCCTTGTGCGTGAAAAGCGCTGCCTTTCTCACTAGGTGACTTGAATCCCAAACGATGTAGGGTGAATGTCTAAGATTTGTAAATCACCATGAAAGGGGTTGAACATCAAAGACACTGTGTCCTGAGGGTGCTGGGAGCTGCCATGGTATTCTGTGTGGTTCTTTCAGGCTCTTGAAATCAGTCTTCTCGTCGTGTCATGAGGATGCAGCCATTATACCGAGGACTCCAGGGACAGGGACCTCGGGGAGATGACCGTTCTGAGGGGCTATACGTCTTCCCGCTTCTACCCTTCAGTCTTCAGGTCATCTGGTGAAGGGTGGCCCGTCCACTGTGCTTCCCAGGGTGCTGCAGCAACCAGGCTGTGGCTTTCACGAGCACCCGCTGGACGTGCAGCCACCATGGGTGGGAGCAGTGTGCAGAAAGCGGCTGAAACTGCTGTACTGCCCAACTCCACACATGGCTCGAGCCAAAAACCCCCAGCCCAGAGTGACTCGGAGGTTTCTGCAGACCCAGTACCAACCTGCTTCCCCGATCCTGGCTGGGCCTTCCCAGGAGAGACAGAGGGCCCGGTCCCCGTCGGCCAGGTAAGAGCATGCTTCGCCAAGGTGTCTGTGAGTTGGAGGGGGTGAGGGAATGAGAAACACATGGGAGAAAAGGGACCAAAAAGGAAAGAAGCTCTAGAAGCCCCGAGGAAGAACGTCTGGAACATTTCCCTGCCTCTTCCTGCATGCCTGCTGTCCCAGAGGCCGGTCTGGACAGGACGGCAGGAGGGCAGGAGAGGCAGGGAGATGACGGAGGCCATGGTGGCCACAGGGAGGAAGGGGAGGAGAGGCTGGGCCTGGAGTCAGGCTGCTTGGACTTGAATCCCGGCTCTGCCACGTGCCGGTGTGATTCCTGAAGCTGCGGTTAGCATAATCTCTCTCTGACTAAGCTTTCTAGCCTCTCAAGGGGAGAGTCATGGTGCCTCCCCAGTGGGTTGATGAGAGGATCCGGCGAGGCTAATGAATGGAAAGCACTGGCACTCAGTAAATGCTCGCTGTGCTTGGTCTTCTTAGTAGACCTGGCCAGTGACTTCTTCCATTTCCTTCACAGCAGGATGCCAGCCATCAGCCCGGTCCCGTGAGCATCCCACTGAGGTGACGATTGGCCCTAATGGTTTCAGTCTTCGTCTCTATTAAGTTTTATGAGCCGTATGCCATAAGAGCACATTCATTTTTTTCCCCTTTCCATTCGATTTTTAAAAATATGGTCAGAGCAAAACTAGATAGAGTACTCCAGCAGTTGCACAGGCTGGCACTGGGGAGCGAAGCTGCCGTTGCTGCTGACCTGGGAGCGCCAGGGCGGGGAGGAAGGCCACCCCTCCCGACCGTCTAATCCTGCAGACGGGGACGCAGCCCTGTCGGACTCAGTGTGCAGAGGGGGTCCGGGGAGTCAGCAGGCAAGGAAGCCACGTGGGCGTGCCGTGGAAATCATGACGTCCTGCGTCCCTCAGCCCTCGGCTGGGCTGCTACCCCTTGACGGCTGTTCTGAGAGAAACTTGCTGCAGACCAGCATGTCCTTAGGTTTTGACAGCTGTTGCTGAGCAGCCTGAGCCCCCCGACGGCAGTGTCCCCTGCTCTCTGAGGCCGTGTGTAATCCCAACGATAAACCCAGCCTGGAAGAGGCACCGCTTGCACATGAGATGCCTGTGGCTGGTGACTCGATATCGGTCTTTAAGAAGGGCACACTGCGGCACCAGAATGCCCCATTTCCCTTGGGCGGCCCCCTCCTGCATGTCCACAGGCACTTCAAACTTAACTCACTGTATTAGTTTCCTACGGCTACTGTAAGGAATGACTGCAAATTTAGCAGCTTAAAACAACAGAGATTAATTGCCTTTGAGTCTGGAGGTGAGAAATCGAAGGGCATCTAACAGGACTAAAACCAAGGCAGGGCTGTGTTGCCTTCTGAAGGCTCCGGGGGGAATTTGTTTCCTTGCCTTGAATTTGGGACCAAAAATGCAGATGTGACTCTTTAGCTGGCTTTGCACAGATGGAGAAACATCCTCCCTATGACTTTCTAGTATTTTCTCTCACACAGCTACATCTCTCAAGCATCGCTTCGGCATACATTTGACAGATGCTGGGTAGGAAATAGTTGGTTTGTGGTTTTTAGCTTTAAGACAGGTACCAGCATTGCATATGGCTGATGGAAGAGAAAGTCAAATGTTTCAGAAGCAAATATAAAAATGGATAGTTTCCCATAAAACTCAGAAAGACCGACTGCTGTTTGCACTCCGACTTGTCATGGGCTGAGACTGTACCAGACCCAACTTGCCGGGACCAAAATCCATTTTGAATTTTGAATCTGCTCAGGTACCAGTAGGGATGTAGAACTCTGTGATGTCTAAAACGTCATCGACCACAACTGAGATTGTCAGATTGGCTTGGCTCATTTATTTGTCTGAGGTTTTGCTGGCTTAAAAAATGCGGAAAAACCACGCATGCATGCAATCACCCGGAACGCCCACACTTCTTCCTCCCACTCCGATGCATTCCCCTGTGTCCCTTCTCCATCCTGGGTCCTCCTGGGTCGCTCTGAGCCAGACCACAAAGCCAGGAGGGCTGTGCATCGACTGTGGTTGTGCATCTGGTTCTCTGAAACCAGACAGCCACTGTGAAGTGGATTTTCGATACACTTGACTTCCCTTCTTGTCACTTCATTTCAGTGTAAGGGATGGGAATGAGGGCAGGCTCACACACAGCTGTTGCTGGTGTGGCAGCCTTGAGTACCGTCGATGCGAGCCCACGCCAAGTTAGAAGTCCCCTGTGTCTCCAGCCGCATGGTTCACCGGTCCAGGTCACCTGCTCAGTGCCCCTTTCCAGTGGCCCCTCCTCTAAATCATGGCCCTTCATCCCCAGAGCTGACCAGTTGCTGCTGAAAACCAAGTGTTTCCATTTCAGAATGAAGAAAGTAGAGAGGTCAGTTATTAATCAGTCTAATAATTATTTATGCAAAACATGGCAAATTTCTTCTTGTAAAGATTTTTGTAGAGGAGACCCACAAGCACACAATTTATTGGTGGAGAAATGTTTTGACCAATATTATAATACCTGGAGTTTATGAGCCACATTTATTTTATTGAGCATGAAAAATTTTTCACTGATTGCCCTAAGCCGTCTAAATCTCCTCTTGAGCAAGTTGTGATGTAAGTGAATAAATAAATACATTATCTCTTCTAGCCTCACATTGTGGCATGTACAGGACTGGTTGCTATTACCCTTACTTACTAGAGAGAGACACAAAAAGACTAATTTGCTAAGGGACATTGCCCGAGGTGGTCCTTGAGATATTTTATTTTATTTTATTTTTGAGTTGTAGTCTCACTCTGTCACCCAGACTGGAGTGCAGTGGCACACTCCCGGCCATCACAGCCTCGACCGGCTGGACTCCAGTGATCCTTCTGCCACAGCCTTCCAAGTAGCTACAGGTGCACGCTACCACACCCAGCTAATTTTTGATTTATTGTAGAGATGAGGTCTCAACAAGTTGCCCGGGCGGATCTCAAACCCGCGGGCTCAGGTAATCCACTTGCCTTGACCTCCCAGAGTGCTGGGATGACAGGCTGAGCCACCGAGCCCAGCCTCCTTGTGGATATTTTAAACCTCCATTTTCCTTCTCCCTTCCTGCTGGCATACAGAGAAGACACAGATAGAGGGGCCCTTAAAAGCCCCAGTGAGGATGAGCTAGTTTGGCTATAACGAGCTGCCCCAACCCAGAGGGCAGAAGCAGCAACTATCGTTCACCCTCGTGATCTGGAGGGTTGACCAGGCTCAGCGGGGCAGTTCCTCTGCCCCACGAAGACGTGTGTGGGTGAGGTGGCGTGCCGCTGGGGGCTCGACCGAGGCGGGTCATCCACAGGGCCCTGCAGCTGCTCTCCGCCTGGGTCTCCGTGCTTGTGCCATCTCATCTTCAACTGTCCTGCTCGAGTTTCTTCACAGCACAGAGACTAGACAGACGTCACAGAGGAGCGCGCCGAGAGAGATGCCCCTGAGTGCGAGGGCTCAGCAAGCCCCTGTTGTGCCTGCTTGTCAATGTCCACGGGTCAGAGTAAGACCCAAGGTCAGGCCCAGAGACCTTGTGTATGCGGGTCAGGGAAGGAGATGCACAAGTTCAGGAGCATCGGGAGGTGTGTTTGCCGGGGGCCGCCAAGTGGAGCCACTGGCACGGGAGGCAGCAGCTGCAGGGGCCGGGGTGGTCTGTTGCTGCCGTCTGTTCTGGGTGGAGGGGGCAGAGCACACGTATTGCTGGGCAGGCGGAGAGCACAGCTGGGCCCGCAGCCAAGGGTTCTGGTGGCAGACCTGTCGTCTGTCACCTATGCTCTGAGTCACGGTCTGACTGCTCCAAGGGTGAGACGATGTGATGTCTAAATTCTCCACTGGGGAGGATGTATGCTCACAGTGAGGGAGAGCTGGCACCTTGTTGAGGACACGGAGGCCGCTGGCTGAGCCAGAGGCTGATGCTTAGATGGAAGACCCATGCTGTTTCCGGCAAAAGGACAGAATTCAGCCTGCATTTGGACCAGCGGAACAACACAGAACACGTAGTCTAGGAAGCCCCGTTGAAAGCCTTGCATTAAACTTGTTGATTCCTGACACGATCATCAGTGGTAGTGTTCCACACAGAACTGGAACCTCTCTCTGCCATCCGTTACGAAGCCATTTCCCAAAGCAGTGGGACTGATTTACAGTATACAGTTGTATCGATGATGGCCATCCTGACTGGAGTTAGGTAGTATCTCAGTGTGGTTTTAATTTGCATTTCTTTGCTGATTCATGAGGCTGAGCACTTTTTCATGTATCTGTTGGCTGCTCATGTGTCTTCTTTTAAGAAGGGTCTGTTCACATATTCTGCCCACTTTTTAATGGGGCTGTTTGTTCTTTTCCTTTTGGCACGTTTGAGTTCCTTGACTGGATAAAAAAATGTGGTCTGTATGCATGATGGAATATTACGCAGCCATAAAGAAAGACAAAATCATGAACTTCACAGCAACTTGGGTGGGTTTAGAGTCTGTAATACTCAGTGGTCTATCACAGAAACAAAGAACCGAGTGCCACCTGTTCTCACTCATAAGCGGCCCCTGAATAATTGTCATAATACTGTAAGAGAGCGGTTGGCAATGGCGGGGCACTGCCGGGGTGAGTGGGTGGGCACACTTCATCAATAAGGGTCCCTACCTCAAACCAGGCAATGTGGGGACCAACGGGAGGTCCTAACTTTACCTGTACAGTGACAATTTGTATACCTAACCCTGAATTGTACCCCACATCTGTAAAATAAAATAAAGAAATGCAGTTTTCGCCTTCGGGAGGCTGAGGTGAGTGGATGGCCTGAGCCCGCGGGTTCGAGACCTGCCTGGGCAGCGAGACCTCATCTCTACAATAAATCAAAAAATCAGCCGGGCGTGGTAGGGCGCGCCTGTAATTCCGGCTACTCGGAAGGCTGAGGCGGAAGGATCGCCGGAGCCCAGCAGGCGAGGCTGCGGTGGCCGGGAGCGGCCGCTGTTCTCCAGTCTGGGTGACAGAGTGAAACTCCAACTCGAAAAAAAAAAAAAAAAAAAAGAAACGCGATTTTTTTCCCCACTCTGCCCCCTCCCTCCCAAAAGCCGTGTTCACGGAGAGTGGTTCCCCGGGATACTATGTGACATTGTCTGATTTTGACTGTCACTGTTCTTCTGACACACCCTGTCTGTCCACACACAGAAGACCTCAGCTCGCTTTTCTCCTGCGTGCACTTTGTCACACACCCACTCTTGGGACATCATGGAGAGTGACATCTCCAGAGCAGCACATGCTGGCCGTGCTTTAGGACAGGCGGCACGGCAGAGTCGAGAGGAGGTCTTGGTCCTGCCCTTGCCACTTGCCAGTTCTACATGTTTGCGGGATGAGTTGAATTTCTTTGGCCTTCTTGCCAACCTGCCTGGGAGCCGAAGTCATGCAATGCCTACTATCCCTTTTCTCCTTGATTTTAAGATAATCAAAATCCTTTTTACCCTTGACTACCACAGGCTTAGGACTTTTTATTTCAAGTAAAATTATATTGATGTTAAGAAATTGGTAGCTCTCACCCAACTCCCAGTAGGAAAAAATTGCATCTTGGGACTGTTGGGCTGGGCGTGGGTCTGGAGGCCTGGCCTGGGCTGCCCGTGCACCAGTCGGAGGCCTGTGGCAGCGTCCACACAGGAACTGGAGAGGAGAGGCAGCTCTGGTGCTTCAGAGCTGAAGGCAGTGTAAGTAGAGGGCATTCCGGGAGGACAGAACACCTCTCCCTTTCTGATGCGCATGCAGTTCGATGGACAGAGCTTGCTAATAAACACCTGGTCAGTATGAAAAAGAAGAAAAAGAAAAAAGAGAAGGAAAGAGAATTCAGGTAGTACAAAATAGAGAAAGTAAGGAACCTGGTTAAGTAAGTTTAGGCCATGAGAGTTTATTGGCTGTCTCTATCAAGGAAATAATGTATTATGTAGCTGCACATGCCAATGCCGTCATCAGCGAGTGTGCAGCGTCTTTGCCCTTGAGGACATCCATCAACTCGTGTGAAGGTCATCTAGAGGGAAATGTGCTTCCCCTGGAGCTGAGGTTCTTACTGAGACTTCCCAAGTTAAGGAATCCCTCTTGGGGAGCTAGAGTTCTCTCTTGTTGGTTCTACTAACTTTTTAACAGTTAAGCACGTCCTTCAACCACAACTACACCACAGTTTAAACAATGCCATGACTGTGGTAAAGACATGTCAGTCCTCGAGATCCTGTTAATTAGGCATTTCTGTCTTGCCAGGCCTCCAAAGAGCTTGACACTACGATGTGTGGCAGACATCGAAACGTGATTCGTGTGCACGTGGCTTTTGTGGTTGGTGAATAAGAATGAGTCATGGGAATTGCAGCTCAGGAAGAAGTTGCATGTGGAAGCCGCCCTTAACAACCAATCATTTTAATACTTTTAGATCATAACATTAATATATTCCTGTTATTAAAGAACGCTGGGAAAATTGAAAAGCTGGAAAGTGGGAGAAGAAACAATTATAGTCCCACTACCCAACGGCAGACAGAGCAATATTTTGTGTTTTTAAAAAATTAAATTTATTTTTTATAGATGGGGTCTTACTTGGTTGCCTCGGCGGGACTGCAGTGGCTCTTCAAAGGCAAGTCCGCAGTGACTGCAGCTTGGAGCCCCGGAGCTCAAGTGGTCCTCCTGCCTCAGCTTCCTGAGTCGCTAGGATTACAGGTGCATGCCACCCTACTGGGCACATTTCAGTGTTTTTATTCTGGTTCTTTCTTTTGTGCAATTGTGCTTCCTCCTCACTGTCTTCCTCCGCTTGCCTACCTGTTGTTAGGCACATTCTGCACGAATTAACCCAGACAGAGCTGGGTCAGTCTGTTCTGCCCTTTATGATTTTGATCAGATTCGCTTAAATTCCCCGTCCTACATCCTATAGGAAATGTGCAATTTCTGGCTTGGACTTCTCACTTTTGCTGAAGTGTCCATTTTGGTTTTTTGTCTTGTGAATGTTCTTGAATAGTTGTTGCTAGTTTGATTCCAAGGAAGGACCAGACACCCTCGCCTCCGTGCTCTCGCCTGTGAACATCTGTTCCGCCCTTCCTCTTCAGAGCAGGAACAATGTGGTTTTGGAAACTGATTCCAGCTCCAGCCTAAGCCAGTCACGATAATTCCACTCCTCTGCCAGGAATTATTTAGAAAGCCAGGTTTAATGCCAGGCGTGGCATTTCCCTGTGACAGTTCTTGCTTCGGGGTGAGTACATACACTAAATTACTCCAGTCAGACTGAAGGGGGATTTTAATTCCACAGTTAAATGAAAGACTCTCTCCCCCTTGTCCTGAAAGCTGTCCCAGTTAACAGCCTCTGTAAGAATAAAGCCCTCAGGTAGAGGAGGCAGGCAGAGAAAACTGCCAGGCCTCCCTTCTGAGTCTCCACTCCAAGAGCAGCAAAATCCCTTCGCGTTCAAGCCCTCTTGAGACAAACTTCTTACGTCTTGCTGCCAAAGTATATTAACTTTTCCCTAATCTTTCCCTTCTTGACTCTGATCTCAACAATTCACACAAATTAGCTAGGTGCTAGAAATTTCCTTAAGCTAGGGGGTTGAAGTCTCAGAACCATAAAGCATATAATGTAACATTAAATATTGGATATAACACTTTTCCTTCGTAGTTTCTGTTCATATTTTAAAGTTGTTTCCTAAGAAATGAAGTCGTATGATGGTTTTAAGCAGAATTTTGCTTCGAAGGACCATCGTGGGTATTTCAGGAACGTGCTCCGAATGTGTCTGCAGAAGCCTTGTGGGGATCTGGCCTTTGGGCTGGGGGAGGTGACTCGTACCTGTTCCCGACCTCCTGTGTTTCTTCGGCACAAGCCACAGCCCCGACCTGGTGCCAGCTGCAGCATGTGGCATCCCCACTCCCCACTGGGGCTGCTCTTCCAGGCAGGGGACGTCTTTTCTCCCATCTGTGGATGGGGACGCACAGAGACAGACCGAGGGACAGCTAGCGAGTCTGTGAGGGAGAAGTGGAGCAACAGTGGAGGACCGTTGGCCTTGGAGGAGCCGGGGAGCCAAAGGGGAACCTGCGAGGAGGCGGGAGAGGGCGTGGATGAGGCAAGGGGGACCCAGGCCAAGAGTGGGGGGATGAAAGCGCTGGGGCCAAGGAAGACAGAAAGACCCGGTGCCAGGGGGGCAGGGAGAGACACAGAGCAGGGGAGGGGCGAGGGAGCCCGAGGCAGCGGCAAGGGAGAGCACGGGCGCCAGAGCTGGGCTTCGAGGAGAAGCAGAGGAGATCGGGCACATCAGAGGCTGGGGAGAGAGAATGACAGAAAGTGAAGCCGGCTACCACAGAGCAGGGGCCAGACACCTTGGAGGAGGAGGAGAAGAGAGGTGAGACGTGCAAAGACGAACCGGCAAACGGAGTGATGGAGGGTGGAGAAATGCAGACCTGAAAGGAGAAAAAGGAGGGAGGCATGCCAGGAAGCACGCCTGGACTCCGCAAGGCTGGCAGGGGAGGCCTCGGTCCAGGTCCTCAGGGCTGTGGAGTTCATCTTTTCGAAGGGCGCCAAGTAGACGCTATTTGACCTCGGACGCTGACGTGTGTGTGCCATCCAGCCTGGGGGTGTCGGGACGGGAAGGACCCTACACTGAGCTGCTCTCTCACCCCAGCTACTCAAGATGGGGCTTCGGCTGTGTCTCCCTGGCCTGGAGAGGAGCTGCTCGCGGATGCTGAGTGGAGATGACTCCAGGAAGCCTTTTGGGGAAGCGGGGGAAGGGACTTGCTCAGTCTTGCCGCTTGCCCTGCCAGGGGTCTCCCAGAATTTCCCACTTAAACTGCGCCACAGCCTGAGAGAAAAGGTACCCCTGGGCCTGCTTGAGAGATCAGAGAACAGAGGCTTTAAAGACTTAATCCCCAGTGACCCAGATTACAAGTGGGAGAGTGAGATTCTGAAAGAAGATTGATTTGCTCTATAATGTATGCCTTTTCCTCTAGAAGACGGCAGGAGATCGGTCACTTGCCAGAGGGGGCAAATCAAATGTGCAGCTGACACGAAAGAACCTCAAAACAACTCCAGAGGAAAAAGTTAGAATACATGAAGACAGATGAATACATGACTAGGCTTGGACCAAATGGATCTCAGACTGAGGATTTATATCAGAGAAACAGAAACTGTTTCATGTAACTCCCACGGAAAAGGCTTTGGTGTGGGAAATTCGCGCTCACACAGTAGAGAGAGGAGGGCTGAAGGGGGTGAACGTTAGAAATCCCAACTGCCAGCCGAGGAAATGCAGAAAGACCCAGCAGAAGAGTGGGTAGCATTCACCGCAGGCCTGTTGTTCCAGACACTCGCATGAACAGATGAGGGTGTTCCTACTGATTCCCGAGCTGCAATGTGTGAAACTTCTGCCGGGTTCGCTCACAAATTCTTCCCTATTGCAGCATCTCAAAGTCTGCGGAAAGCCTACATTATGCTCTTCTCCACCTCAGTGCTTTCTTCAAAAATTAAGGACCTCTTCTTATGGCAAAAAAGTTGTGTCCCAGAGTTGGAGTCCTATGGAGACAGCAAGAGCCACCACGAAGTCTTGGGGGGCAAGGAGGAGCCAGGGTTGGCTTTGCCTCAGAGAGCTGGACCCCGCTAACCCATCTCAGATGGGAAGTGGTTATAGGAGGCTCCATCCCGCCACAGAGAAGCTCCATATCCACCTTTGGGTCTCAGAGGTGTTCCTGGGAGGCCTTCAGGTGGCTGCCAGCCTCTTCCTGTCTGCCATATTTTGCCAGGACCCCTGGGGGAGAAGACAGAAGCTAGAGGTGGCTCCCCTTGTTCCCATGTTCCATGAAATGGCTTTGACACAAACAGCTCCAGCCAGCCCTCTTCCTTATCTCCAGTGCTCCCAGGGCCCTCAAGAGGTGGCTCCCCCACACGGAGCTGAGGTCCCCACTGCCCTGTTCATGGCAGCTGTCAGTTGTCTTGTAAACTCAACCAACATCAGACATTTTATCAGACCCCATTTCTGCATATCCACTATCATTAAGAAGTCAAGGCTGGCTTCTGCATAGACAGGGTGAACTTCAAGCGAGGCTTCCATAGGACTCTGTCTCAGGAGGCTCAGCTTTGCCCGAGCACCACTCCACGGAAGCCTGAGCAGGGTGGAAAGCCCTTTCTGGGCCGGAGGGAGCACTCACGTGCTGACAGCTGGTAGGGCCCACTTCCCTCCCCTCCCCCTGAAGCTTGTAACCTGTGAGGATGCGATTGTGCTGAGGATAAACACAGCTTCAATTCCATGGAGAGCTGGCAGGACACTGCGGAAGCCGTTTTCCAAGAGCCGAGCAAATTATGCAACTGCCAAGAGGCTTCGCTGCTCAGGCAGGAAACAGGAACAGCCGTTGCGGTTCCCAGTCATCGTGGTGAAACAGGCGTCCCAAGCAGGGTGGTGTGTAATGACTGGGGCTGGCAACATGTGACGCACGCAGCAGCAGAGGGCTTCTCCACTGGCCTGTCAAGTCAGGAGGGGATTCTGGCTGCACGTGTCTCTGCAGGGACTTCCAAGAAGGACGGGTGTGTCTCCACAGATTGACAAGGTCAAAGGCCCCATGTCTGTGGATGGTGTGGGGATGGGGTGACCAGATGCGGCTGGTGATGGCAGTGGAGTGTGTCCGATGAGGGCCTACAGCCTGCGGCATTGTCAGCGTCAAGATCAAACACAAGCCGGGCTGGGTGGCTCAGCCTATAATCCCGCACCTTTGGGAGGCTGAGGTGAGTGGATTGCCTGAGCCCGCGGGTTTGAGACCCGCCTGGGCAGCTTGGCGAGGCCTCATCTCTACAATAAATCAAAATGAGCCGGGTGTGGTAGTGCACGCCTGTAGTTGCAGCTACTCGGAAGGCTGAAGTGGAAGGATCGCTGGAGCCCGGCAGGTCGAGGCTGCGGTGGCCGGGAGCGGCCGCTGCACTCCAGTCTGGGTGATGGAGTGAGACTCCGACTCAAAAGAAAAAACTAGATTAAACACAGGCTATAGTTTTGCATTGAAATTGCTCACTTCCAAATTGGTTGGGTTTAACTGTAAAGGAGAAAGTCTTGGCCTTTCTGTTCTGTGCGTTCAAAATTTTAGTTAGGGTCCAAGTGCCATTAATAGTGCAGTCTCCCTAAAGGGAGGCCGTCTAAGAGTGGGTAGGAGGTCAGACAGACACACCCCAAACCCACGGCTCTGCTGCTTAGCTGTTCTAGAACTCGGAAAGGTTACTCACTTTCTCTAGGCCTTAGTTTCTTTAATGAAAAAAAAAAAATACTCCCTCAAGAGATAACCCTGAGAATAAAACAAGTAAAGATGCAAGAAAGAGTTTTAGAAAAGAGTCTCTCCCATGCTTGCGAATAGTTGGCATGGCCACCAGGCTTCTGAAGGCCCACCAGATACTGGGGAATTCAGGGGCCCAAGGCCAGTAGGACCTGGGTCACAGGTCAGTTCCAATCAGTCTTCGAGTTTTGGGCAGGCATAGGACACTTCAGCCGAGACTCTCCCAGCTCCTCAGCAAGCCAGGGAACCTGAGGGCCAATCCGGGATCAGGGCTGCTCTTTCCTCCACAGCATGGTCTTCTAGGGTGTATTTCCTTCTCTCCTTCTCTCCCTGACACAGATAGGCTTTTCCTTTGTTGACAGTACAGCTGACTCTTGAACAGCCCTGGGGTTGTTGTGGGCTCTGACTGCCCACACAGTCGAAAAGCCACATGTAGCATTCGATGCCCGAAAACTCAACAACTAACAGCCTGCTGTTGGCCAGAGCCTTACCAGTAACATTCACAGTCGATTACCATGTTTCACTCATGCACTGCATGCCGCATTCTTATAACAAAGTGAGCTAGGAAAAAAGGTGTTACGCAGAAACCATAAGGAAAATAAAATGTATCTGCTGTTCATCAAGTGGAAGCGGTCTGTATCTTCGCCTTCACGTTGGGTAGCTGAGGAGGAGAGGGGGGGGTTTCTTGCTGTCTCTGGAGTGGCAGAGACAGGAGGAAATCCCTAGGAAGTGGATCCACGCATTTTGAGCCGTGTTGTTCAAGAGTCAACTGTAATCTGATCCCATGCGATTGTCTTCATGCCCTTCCCAGATGTCCTGAACCAGAGCCTGTCACCAAGCGAACTTGCTTTTGAGGGAGGCGCACGTTGGAAAATCCACTTCACTGTGTCAGTCCTCCAGGAGGTAGACAACGAGATGGGGAAGGAGGGAGAAATAAATGTTTATGGGAGGAGAGATGTCTGGCAGAAGGCTGCACAGGACAACTTCAGAAGGTGCCACACACGTGGGACAGTCCCTGTCGGTCCAAGGGAAGCTCCAGAGCCCGGCTGCCTTTCCGAGAGGCCCCACAGTGGGCAGGAGGCCCCAGGCCCCAGGCCCTTCCCCTGCTTGGTGCCGGTTGGGGGCTGTCTGGGAAGAGCCTGGGCTCAGCTGCTAGGCAGCTGTCTGCCCCCGTGCTCCCCACGCCGGGCTGCAAGCTCTCTTCCTCCGAGGGAGAGCAGCCGACCCCTGGTCTGAGTGAGTCTCTGACTTGGGTGCTCTGTGTGCTCACGGCTAGGTGGTGACAAGCCTGGTTGTGTCTTGGCGCCTAGTGCGGGCTTGACAGTGTTT